GATCCAGTGTATGTGAACAGTGAGATGTTTGGGCGCTGAAGTCGCCATAGCCAATTGAGAGTGAACTCGTATCTGAAAGCCATATCTCCGAGTTTGGAATGGGCGCATGTCGCCAGTATGCTGCGTTGCTGTTTACATGCATGAAAAGTGTGTTTGAGAACGAGTCTGATTGCAAATGCTCCATACACTAATCAAAATTTCAAGTGCAACCATGCATCATACACTTTTCTCAAATGCACCCACACCTTGTTACAGTTTTCAAATGCAACCACGGGCCTCGCTCCAGTACTCCCAACATCCTACATGCATTTTGGGCTGTTTTTTGCCCTGCACAGGATGCCCCGCACAGGTGACCCCCACCAGGCGACTTGCCTGGGCTGCACCGTAGCCTAGATTTCGAGTGCATCGGGACAATTATGAGCTCCAGATACATATAGAGTGTTGTTTGTTGCAGTGAGGCCCTATGTCACTGGCTTTGCAGACAGAGGAATACGCATACCTCAACCAGATGTTTCTGGCAGACAAACTGAAAAGTTGAAAACCAAATGACTTGACATGTCGAAGGCTACCGTCTTCACCTGAAGCGCCCGGTCATTATAGCTGTATTTGGCACAACTTTCTACCCAGATACGGCAACAACAATTACTGGGCGTTCTATTCGGGTGAAGACGGTAGCTTTAATCGCTACTACTGCCACGGTTCCATTCTGATCATGACACCCAACCAGCCACCAATAGACACAGAATAGGCAATTTGGATGACAGAATGAAAAACAAAAAGCATGAAATTCGTAATCCAAGGCTAGCTTTCATCGCTACTACTGCCAAAGTTCCATTCTTCCCATGAAACCCAATCAATCAGTGACAATCACCAATAGACACAAAATAGGCAATTTGGATGACAAGCTGAAAACCAAATGACTTGACATGTCCTGTCCGTAACAGAAGGCTAGCTTTCATTGCTACTGACAAGGTTCCATTCTGCCCATGAAATCCAATCAGTCGCCAATAGACACAGAATAGGCAATTTGGATGGTTCAGACGACCGCCACTAGACTCTGAGATTCGCGTTTGGGTGATCATCTGGCAAGGCCCACCACAGACAGCAGTACGTCCGAGGGGCCAGGTAGCAGACTGTAACTGAGTCTCTATTGTCGAATTCCATAGTCGATGACCCTACTACTTCCGTAATCAGCAGGCTAAGAGCATAGACTTGGGGAGAACAGGACAACACAAAAGCTGGGATTCAACGAACGACGTCCTGTCGACCAGAGTTGTGTCGATGTGATCCTAGAGGCCAGCCCGCTGGAACAGGATGCAGGTCCTGACTCAGCTACTGGAATCGCACAGAAGTGTCGTTGGGATCCAGACAACGCTAGGGGGTGTGAAAATTGCATTAGCTTATGCAAAGTCCCCCATATCAGAAGCAACAACAGCAGACAGTGATCACTCGATTTTAGCTCGGAGAAGAATAAATAGCATCTTGGCTATGGCTGCCATGACAAAAGAGGATTAGCCTGCCTGCCATGACAAAAGAGGTTCGATATGGCTGCCATGACAAAACAGCGTTAATATTTTTCCCGCTGTATCCAACATGATGCTTTTTGACCTACTGGGAGGAGTTCGCCTACAATCTAATGACGTATAAACACTGCCAGCAAGAGGTGTAACAAAACCAGCAATACAGCAAGGTAGTGGTAGCCCTGCACAAGCCCAAAGCGGACGTGCGTGCAACCTTGCCTCCGTTGCGTTGTGCTCACTATGTCAACACAACATCCTCGCTCGCAGGGAATGGCTGACTGGCCCAACAACATGTGAACTTAGGGGCATACTGATCTCGAAACAGCTCAACACAAGTGCCTTTACAACCCAGGAGATCCGAACCATTCCATCAACGTTGCTAGCCACGGAGATATGACCAGTACAGAGACGTGTTCCGTGAACCCCTGGCCATCATCATGGTATCTATAGATAAAGTGTGCCCGGCAAAGGGACTCGGCAAGGTTAGGTTTGGAAGCGGTGGTAGTTCAAGGTTCAAACTGCCAGAGAACCATTCGCAGCCAGCGAAGCCAGTTTAATCGCGCTGTCCCCCTGCCTCAACAACTTAACACTAGGTGATTTCCCTTCCCCCTAGATTCTACATTCATCATCACCCCCTTGCTCAACTCATCAATTAATAATCCAATTCTGGTCACAAAGCAAGCTCTCAAGTTCCAAATAACAGACAAGCACATAGGAGAAGCGGATTCGGCAATGGAGAACGACACAAAAACTCGCAAACAGACACATGCCCAAAGACAATAGCAACAGATTGACTCTCACGCACCTTGATTGCTCCTGAGCTGTCCAGCTCGACTCCGACTTCCTCAGCCCCCAGCCTCTGGCGTGCAGAAAGGTACAGACCCACCGGAAACAACAAACAGTAAATAATGGGGGTCCTTGGGGGAACAGCACAGAATAGGCACAGAGTACAATGATGACATGGCATAAGCATGGATTCAAAAGGAAATCTCAACACACAAACCTTGTGACTAACCAGAATGGATGTGCGTCACTCAGTACGGAAATACCTCAGCAAAGTGAGGGCTAGTGTGAGATACCAGTTACCCACACACACACACACACACACACACACACTGCCTCTCCTGAGTCTCCTCCCTGCGTGCCCTTCTAACTCGAGCAATGTTTTCACCTACATGCCTCCCAACTCCAAAGAAGATATCCTCCCTCCCTCTCTCTCTCTCTCTCTCTCTCTCTCACACACACACACACACACACACACACACACACACGAGAGTGGTTTTCCTTTCCAGCAACTGTTTTTCATACAGATTCGCTCCCGATTCATTTTTGTGTTTTTTTGCTTTGCTTTTCCAAACACACACACACGCACACCAAACAATAAAATGAAGTGCATACACAAATCAAACACATGCAAGAAGATGCAGCATGACACATGTTCATAAAAAATTCCAAGAGAGCAGGATGATTGTGTACGCATCTGGGCAAGCAACATAGAGAGAGACAGAGGGAGAGGAGGTGTTGCAAGGAGTTACATGATTACCTCAGTTCTTGGCTTTCTCCCAGTCGCAAACATGACAACCTCAGTGGTGATCTTCTCCCCCTTATCAGTCGTCAAAACTAGCTTTCCTGTATCAGCATCCTTTTCCACAGACACAGGCGATGCTCGGTTATGAATCTTGATTCCCCTTGTCTGAAGTTGCTCACCAAGGAAGTCTCGAATCTGCCACCAGATCAATCAGGCTCAGTGTCAGATGACAGTTCGTCTCCATGGACTTGTCTTACATGTACTGAAAGACACTCCACGAACCACAGCACAAATCGCAGTACACCTCTGTTCTGCAGCATGACCAATTGCAGTGGAAGGCCTCTACTGAATCCCCCCTCTCTCAAGTTCCAATCCAATATGAATGTGGTACACACATGCAGCTGTTAACAAACAGATCGAGGGTACTAATCCTGACGCCTCAGAATCTCGGATGCATAATATATCAAGGTTAGGGGCTATAGCCCCTTTGAAAATCATTGCAAGAAACCAGAAATACAGGAATGCTGCAAATTACAATAATACCTTTCCCGGTCTTTTGGCTAACATCAAGGTGTACGATCTGTTCTGTTCTGAATCTTCCGATCAGAGTTTCATATCACACCCATGGTCCACTGGGCCATAACAAAAAAGGCAAAAAAAAAAAGAGTTAGCAATGCTGAAAACACTTTGAAACATTCTCGCAACATACGCTTACATACACCATATAACATCTTGGAGGATGGAAGTCTAACATCTTCCCTAGGACACAGTGCACACTCGTCCACATACCGAGTACATGCAGACATTCAATCCAGGTGTTGTGTTTGGGGGTAGACGATAGCAGGATTGAGCAGGCGGTGTGGGAAGAGACGAATGGGGTACAAAGCCAATGTTGTCACTGCGCCTTCTGCGTACAGCTGCACACTTCTCCTCCATCTCTGCGCTCTTCCCCGCCTCCTCGCTCTAGTTATAATTCTCACACTTCCATCTCTATCTCGATTGCTGGTTAGTTGTCTGCTCAGAAGTTTTCAATCGATCGAAGAATTGTTTGTTTTATTATTTAAAAAAATGGAACATTTCTCCATTCATGTGTGTCATTCTTGCGCGGGGGTCACGGTCATCTTCTCTGTATCGTTCCAATCTCAACAGACTGAACGAAGAATCATCAATCCAACAATTCAAGCACAAAAGTGTACAGGCGCCCGGAGGCCTTCTGGTGAACTGTAGTGTACCATTCTTCCCTCCCAAATACAGAGGAAATAAAAAACAAAATTCAGAAGTCCGAACACACACGCAAAGTGTGCCATCCCCGGAAGCATGAGCAGACAAATCAACTGGCACGAAGATGAAGCACGTGTTGAGAGAGTGGCAAACAGAACAAAGAAATTGAAGAAAAAAGTGCTTACATTCAGAGGGGGAGAGGTACACAACATGCAGTTTTAGCCTACACATAAAAAATCTGATGCGACACAGATTTTTTTTTTTCTTTTTTTAAGTTTTTTTTAATGTGGCCCGATGGACCACAGATCAGATATTTAACTGATCAGAACAGATACTACACTTGGCCTTATGCGGCACAGATTTCTTAATGTTGCAAATTGCAAAATAAGAAATAAAGTTTAATAAACAGTGAAACACATGGATAACAAGGGGGACTGGCGTGGGAGGAGGAAGAGGAAAAAAAGAACTTTGATCGGATGTAGATAATCTGATAAACATACACAAAGGCACTTATGCCATAACCAGTGAGCAAAACCGGGGGTTTGGGGAGAGGATAGGGATAAAGTTGGCAAACACAAAACCGGAAGGGAAAGGAAAAAAAAAAAAAAAGAGAAAGAAAACACGGAACGCACCTCTTCATCAAATCCACGGAGGACTTTTGGCTGTCGAATGAGGACATGCGTTTCGGTACCCAACGCATTAAATATGCTTGCGAACTCGAGGGCAATGTAACCTCCCCCAATGATGCAGATGCTCTGGGGCCTCTCCGGGAGCTCGAGCGCCTCATCACTTGTGATCCCATACTCCTTCCCAGGAATATCAGGGACAAAAGGACGGCCGCCGACTGCAAGCAGAATGTTCTTTGCTGTGTACCGCTTCGAACCCACCTCCACAGTGTGGGGACCAACAAGCTGCACAATCGAATCAGCCACCGCACAGATGGGAATCCATCTCAAAGTTCAAACCCAAAGACTGAAGGCAGGGATTCATCAAGACTGAAGCCAGGGGGACATACTAGGGTACAATTCTGCTCGTTGAGGCTACAATTTGGCAGGGAGACACGAGGCTATATCAAGGTCACAATTAAAAGGGCCATACAACGCCACAATTTGAAAGAGTCGTACAAGCCTACAATTGGGCTCGAATCCCGACATACTGCAAAAGAAACATGCACACATCACAAACGTGTGGAAGACGGGTTTCCAGGCACACAGTCAGTTACAATTCTGGTAGTTTACGTAACGATCAGTAGCAATGAATCAGGCTGTGTACGGACCAGATTCCCCCGAGGTCAGGCGCTACAGCTGTATTTAGTGCAATTTTCGGGCCAGATACGATAATCATCATACCCATGAATCATGTCCAGGAGAAGAGAGTAGCTTCATGCACTTGCAACCCACCAGAGCCCAGTGAAAGGATTCACGTGACTATTAGCAAGGCCCTGTCGGGCCTCAGAAAATCTCGAGCCGTTATGCCCAGCCCAAATTCGGAGAGTTCTGAGGACCGCGCGACCCTCACAGAAAAAATGCTAAAACACTCGAGGGCCAGGGGCCCAGTCCAGAAGCTTCCAGTCGAATTTAGAGCTCCAGTCCCGTTAGAACTCAGCAGGGTCCAGTTTTGGGCAGTCGCAGGCCCAAGTCAAGAAAGGTCTAGAGGTCGAAGTCTACCTGTTGGGCCTTTTACTACTAAAGGAAAAGTCCAGAAGTCGAAAGTCCAACCTTGCAGCAGCACCTTCCGGAAGGCACCGGTACCCAAGAAACATGCAGTCCACTGCACACAGGCACAAGCAGACGGTACAGGTCCAGGCAGACCAACCCAGTCCATGCAACTATATAAGCAAGCACAGTGCCTTGACGATTCATTCAGAGTTGCATGTTGCGGCACGGCTTGTGCGACCATCGTGATCCTGTGCGTTGTGGTAACGAGGAAGAGGACGCGAAGAAAGTTGGAGGTGACGGAGAGGAAGGCGGCCATAGCCGCTGGGGTGAAGAAGCAACAGGCGGCCATAGCCGCTGGAGACCAAGGCGGCAGGTGTATTCAGGGATAGGTCCAGCATAGAGAACGTGAGGCAGAGAGGGACAGTGTACAATGTACATACATGATAGGGAAGAGAGTGTGTGCGTACTAGAGGAAGAGAGAGATCGTGTACATACTGAGAGATAGAGAGGGAGAGATCGGCGAGACGCATATCGGAAGCTGTTGACTGATGGACGTTGCTGGGCCGAAGAAGGAGTGGCCAGACTTTTCAGCTGTGTAAATTTTTGAAATAAAACAAGTTGGCTGTTCATGCGTGTTTGGAAACCTGTTGGACATTCTCTACTCAGCTTGTTTGATGACAACTGCATGTGAGACCATTGCACCAGCAGCATTCACTCTGCAAAGCCAAATTCTTCAAGACCCCCTCTCCTCACCCATTGGGCAGTAGTGTGATCACACATGGTTTAGCTGATTTTCCTTTGAAAAAGACAAGCGGGCCCACTGCTGGTACGCTCACAGCGCAGTGCCAGGGTTTGCGGGAAGGAGGGGAAAACAGGATCTCATTTTCTTCTTCTTT